TAGATGGGTAGTGGGGTACCAGGTAGTGGGGGTCCTGAGAGTCCCTAGGATTTCTGGAAGGTTCGGCTTTTGATTCTGGCGCCTGGTACTCCGGAAGGCTCATCACAGCAGCCAGCTCAAGAATTCCTATACTGACATGTCCGCATCATCCTCCCATGGCCCTGGTATGCATACCTTGAACCCTATTTCAATTTATGGTGTCTGCGGCTTTGCTACAGAGACTGCCTTGAAGGGATGCATGCTTTGGAGCCCTTAGACACTACACCCCATGTTGATAGGGTACGTAGGTTGTCAAGAAAATGTTCCCTTTTGGGTCCCATTGCTATACGGCCCCTATTTGACAACTCTCCATAGGTGACCTTCACAGAGATGTTGTGGACACCTCACGGGTTCCGCTGCAGAGACCCCTTCAGTGGGGCCTCAACACAATCTGGGCGGTGGACGACTTCACGGTCGAAAATGGTGCCACGCGATTTGTGCCCGCATTTCACAATTGGTCACAGTTTAGTTGGTAGAAGTTTGGGTTTGCAGTTGGAAGCCTTGCTTCACTTAACCTGCTTTTGAAGCTGCTTTCCCAGCCATATCTCTTCGACGGTGGTCATGCAAGCCGAAAATCTTTGAAGTTATAGCTAGGTGGAAACCTACAACCACCCCGCCCTTATTCTGCACCAGTGCTACGAATTAATCTTGCTTCACGTTAATTATATATCAAGTTCGTCCGCGAGCAGTTGCCCATGGTGCCCAATGCCATCTCATTAGGAAGTGTAATTAACTCGTGCTAGATCCTACTATCATGTCAGGTACATTTTTCATGCAGGGATCATAGTGTAGTAATGTAAGGCACGCTGCCTAATTCAGGGTTCCTAGTCCTAGTACCATTTAAGGAATATCCCCCAAATTAAGGTGTGCATTAGACGCTCTGGCAAGGTGCCTGGGAGCCATTCTGGAACCCTGCCTCAGGGCCACTGGTCTGGTGAGCAGCCCGAAGCACAGCAGGCTCCGGCAGCCACGATGCCAGCCGGCTCTGTGAACTGGGCGAGTTTAAGCAGAAATGGGTTTCATGTCGTAGAAGTAGGGAGAATCAGATGAGCTGTAGTACAAACTCCCGAAAAGGGGTTATATAGGGGATGATATGGGGGAGTACCTATAGGTGTGTATTAGATTAAGGGGGAAACTCGGAGTTTAGATTATAGCTCGAACTGAAACATGGAATGGAAACTGAGATGGTTATGCTGTTTTAACCTTGACGAGCTTGACCAAGCAAGGAAATGAGTAGCCGGCTGGCTGTTGGTAGGGAATGAATGGAAACAAACATGGAAAACACCATCTTACTGGGGATGCTATAGGTATGCCTTCCTGCATTCCATACCCAGTTTTCTTGTAGTAGCGCTATGTTGTATAGACTTCCCCTCAACCTTATGGTTGAAGCCCTCTTTGTTCCGAGAGATCTGAATAGAATCCCCGCTGACAGCATGATTGTTGCGGCTCCTATTGCGTGAGCCTGCTCTCGAGGTCGTTGTCTATTATGCCAGCACTTTGCATGGAAGCGGTGAGAACCGATCGCCAAAGATGCGAACAGGTGCTTGAATACAGCTGTGCAGAAGCTATTCTGATTTGTTTGTTCTGATGGTTCTAATCCCTGGGGCATCAGAACTGTTGTTGCGGTTTCTGTATGTGGAATGTTTATTGCAGATGTTTTTGGGGGGTTCGACGTACTACGATAAGTGAGGGGAGGTTCGTGGCTTGAGGTTTGAATTTCAACTGACCCCCAGACCCCTGCAATCCCTCACAAAGTCTACACAGGCCTGCAATCATTTGAGGTACCCCTTGTTCCTGAGGTTTGAATTTCAATTACGCTTTCGTTGACGAAGCTGGCGGAAGCATCGGCCTCAGGAGCATTTTCCGTGACAAAATGATTCCTAAGCGGCCTCTCATAGTAATCAGGGACAGTATGAGTACAAAGCTTCAACTGTCCTCACTGATGTCAGATATCAGTCTTTCACTCAGGACCTTTCGAGTGGGGATTCTGAGTGGTGTTGCGATGCGTAGTTCGAAGAAAAAGAATTTGCGTGCAGGGAACGTGCTGGTTGAGGTGGGTTTGGTCACAAGCATTTGCCTCAGGTGGGCGCATGGCATGGTGAGAAGTTGAGGCTAAACAGCCATGTTCTCCTACATTCCGCTCCGTTCCAGTGCCGTTGACTTCAAGTCTGTGTTGCTAAGCATCTTCATTTTCTGCGCACTATCACTAGTAAGGCATATGTGGACGAGCAGAAGCAAGGGTCTTAATGTGCCAAGAGGAAGGGCAAGGACAAGCCAAAACGTCAGCGGCTGCCACGCAATGGACTGTTCCCAGCACGTTTGCTCAGACAGCGGCGTTGCCATCTCTGTGCGGCGTTTGAGCGGAGTCAGTCTGCTAGAAGTGACTCTTGTCCGCAAGACAACAGTTAAGAAGAGCATGCGTAGGAGGACAAGAGCTCTGACTTGTCAGGTGGCTTGATCGAGGGGCATCACTGAGACGCGTGTTCGATGGTCTTCCCAAAGATGGAGGCCAGGAATGCTTTTGTCTGGCACCGAGGTTTCAGTCAAAAGAATTTGAATGTCACTAGGCCTCACGCCCTGTTTGTAAAGGCTGTCTGGTGCTGGTGGCACCTACGGGCCGCGTGGTGACCCCGTCGGATCACATTGCCGAGCTTGCTGGGCTTGCGAATGACCATGTGACCTTAACAGAGGCTCTGCCGGCACAAGTTGCATTTTATTTTGGTACTTGCAAGGAACCACTGCAAACGGGAGAGGGTCGCTATTGGTGGATGATGAGGGTTGAAATCGGCAGCTGCTTTGCTTCTAGAAGGGCCATCCAAGGCAATCGCACATACGGTGCAAAGCCCCTTGGATTCGCATTAAAAATGTTGGATGGGCAGACCCCTCGAGTTCATAGACGCACAGATTTTGTCCTCCGATTCTTGTAGCCCCTATACTCCCTAAGCGCCCGCTTGACCATTTGGCCGGCAAGCAAAATGATATCTTGCAATCGGCTTTTTGTACTACGCGATTGGGATGCATGTCTTGCAGCTGCAGATGTTCCACCCAAGAGCATGTCAGAATCACGGGTCCATTTTGGGTTCATTTTACTGCGACCTATGCCCTGTTGGGGTCACTACAGCGCATATATAGAAGGAGGCCTTAAAGGCTTGAGGTCCAAAGATCAAATTTGCCAGTAGTTCCAGCAGCCGAGGTGTTGCATCCACACAATGTGCTTTTGCTGTGACAACTTCATCCGGCTCCGTGGTGTCCTGGGGCGATGGGGACATGGGTGCCCAGGGCTACCATTTGTATAATGATGCATCCAAACACTTCCAATAATATACTTCGAACTACTTATTTGACCCATCAATATAGCGATTTGGGCTCAGATTTTGTTGGGGACTTCCTTGTGATAATATCAGTGCCCATATGGCATCATATGACCCTCCATTGTTTGGATATATAACCTTTCCTAAAACCTAGAAAGCCCAAGTTAACATCTGCATACCTGTGAACTTTTGGGACCCTTCATTGGACCTTCCGGTTGCTACCAACACAGGCGGGGATGCCAGGCTTGTGCAAGAGCAGCTGATGAGCGGTGTTGTGCGTGCCTTGGACGATGGCTAAGTTATACACGACCCCCACCCAGTCCGCCGCAAATCCTGAAACTCCGCACCCTGAACCCCTTTGATATTTTTGCGGGTATTGATGATTGCGGGGTCGGGGCTGCTTATTATGATGAGGCGATTAATGTGAGGGCTCTGCATGTAGCCTCTAATCAATGGAGACCTGAAGCGCCTGTGGTGTGTTTTCACGAAGAGAACTGCCGCAGAACCTTTGAACAGGCGCCCGCAGTTGACAGACTCTCTCAGATTAAGGTGTCTACGCCAATGCGTTTGCTTTTGCAGCTCTGAAGAAAGATGCTTGGTTTAGGACTTAGGGTTCAGGGTTCATGTTTAGAACGATTTGTAGTTTCCATAGATAGGGGACCCCAACTAAAAGGGAACCCCACATGAAGCAACGTGCATAGATCACTGCTTTTAGCCTCTGACTCTCAGCAGTCTTGGGGACCAAACCCTAAAACATGATGTTTCTGGGCTGGGCCCGTGGGCCACTAGGTTTTTGTAACGGATTGTAAATCAAAGCCTGAATATGTGCCTGCCTGAGACATAACATGTATAGGAAGGGAGGCTTGAATACTTGGGGACATGGAGGTTTCTCAACAAAGGGTGCACTAGAGATAGATTGGATTTGTGGATTTTTACAGAAGTTGATTTACACATGAAGTGGATAATAGGGGATCCCAACAGATGGTTCAAAAAGTATTTGAAGCTCCTCTCTGGTCTCCCCTTGTGAACCTTGTACAAATATAGAAGAGTGTACTCTATACCCTCAACCCTAAACCAAAACCCTTATTCTGCTCATGTAGGCCCCGGCACCAAGCTTGGCTTATAGACCAAATCCCAGCTGCCGACCTTCCAAGCAGACCCCAAGCACCAAGCCATTGGTGGCGGACTTTAAGTGGTTTAGGTTTTAGGGGATTAGCGTTTAGCGCTTATTGTGTAGGTTTTAGGGGTTTAGGGTTCAGGGATTACATTCTCAGTGAGCGGTTCAAGGATTTTTCTAGCCACCTCTCAGTTCTGAGGCCATGATCGTGAACGCCCGAAGCCTAAGTCCTGACCTCAAATCCTCAGCACTGAAAACCACAGGAAACAGTCCTGAGCCCTGAGTAAACCATCGAAATAGTACAAACACCCGCCACGATCTCAGTTGCCCTGCATGCGTAACAGCCAAGCGGGAAGGAAAAAAACACCCGCCACATGCAACAAATATTCCCGAACGTTCCATTGCATAGTTGAAGGACATGCCTGATTTTTGGGAGGGCCCAGGCCTTAAACCTGTAAGCTCTGTGGGGAGGAGGCATCAAGCCTTAGGGTGATTCTATAGTCCTATGCCCTAAGAAGCACCATCAATTGGACTTTCTTTTCCATCCCGTCCCCAGCCCCCCTTAAGCACCAGTGAACTTGGGCATGGGTTGCCGTTGAGGAACTGCAGCTAGGCGACAAAAATGAGGAACTCATGTTGCTCTATGTTGCTCTCCATGTATGCTATGGTAATACCCCCTGTATACGAGTCCAAAACCCTGTGCAACCCTAACCCTCTTCAAAGGGAATCCATGACTCAGTTGCGTAGCATTTACTTGATGATACTGTGGTCCCCAACATAGAATATGATTATATCCTCCTTTTGGGTCTAGTATGCATGAAGAACATTATCTTGCTGGCTTCAACGACCAAAAACGCCTGAACCCTAGACCCTAGAGCCCTAAAAGCCCGATGATAAACACCCTTGCTGACCTAAACCCTAAATTTCCTCAAGCCCTAAAGCCCAGAGGAAATCCTATAAAAACTCCTGTGGGTTAGAGATTTAAAATATCTTCTCTGATATGAAACCCTAAACCCTAGACCCTAAACCTGGGATCTTAAAACGCAGGTGTAGGTTCTTGGAATAAGCACTGTATTTTGCCACAATCTGAAACCATAATTCTTGGAGCTTAAGCCTTGCATTCCAAATCTCGGCTTTAGGCTGCTGCCCTAGAGATTGGATTTTTCTTGAGTCTGGAACTCCCAACCCTAGACTCTAAACCAGGGATCCATGGGTTAGACATTGTATCTTCTAATTAATATGAAACCGTAAATCCTAGACCCTAAACCCCGGATCCTAAACCCCGGAAGCCTTCAACCCTAAGAGCCCTAAACCCCAAACCCTAAACCCTAAACCGCGACTGAAAGCCACGAGGATGGTTCGGTGGTAACCTGGGGTTTGGGAGCTGCGGGCGGCAACAGCAATTCCGTGAGGCCTCGCCTTGTGGTTCCGGGGTAGAAACTCTTGGTAGCTGTTTAGGTAAGGTTTTAGGGTTTAGGGGTTCCTGTCACTGTGTTATGAGAAAGTGTTCAAGTTTTGGCTTAGGGACCTCAACAACTGGGAAAAGGTTTAGGGCCTCTAGGGCTTGCCGTTTTTAGGGGTTCATCAAAGGTCTCGGGATGTCTTGGATTTATCATGGGCTTCCCCATTACTCCGTGTATTACCTCGCCTAGGTTACCCTTTACTTGGCCCTCATTATCCTTGTAGAGCCCTAATTAATGGGGAGCCTACGGGGGTAGCAGTGGAACACATGGCTTAAGGTGTTACGAAGGGCTTAGATTCTAGGGTTTCGGGCTTACATTGGCTTTTGTTTTAATTTAAGGCTCAGGGTTGGGGCCTTAATATATACCTACAATAGTGCCTTGTGGTACCCATTACTGAGGGGGGGTTGGCCCAAGGTGTAGGGCTCAGGGTTTAAGGTACTGGCCATATGCCGTTGAAGTCAGGCGGGCTTAGGACTTGCGATAGACCATTGGGCCAGCATGGTTTCAGATTGAACTAAGAAGACCTTGGCATTAGAAGCTAGTGGCTAAAGAATTCTAAGACTGCCCGCCAACAATCTCGAAACAAGGACCTGTCTTGGTGCCAGTAGAGTAGAGAACGGACATTCGTTCTAATTTTTACGCTTGGGGTCCCCGTATCGTGGGAAGCTACCTCACATTCTTGGTGTCACTTAGACTTGGGCCAAATATTAGCTTCCATTTTCCTTTGCATTATCCCTCTAAAACCCTTCTTAAATCCCCTTATATACCCTATCATATTATAGTAGCTTCCATTTTCCGTTATCCCTATATGAACCCTACATAAACCCTCGATCCTAAACCCTAAAGAGTAGTTTCCATTTCCTTTTCCATTATCCCTATACAACCCCAATATATGCCCTATTATCATATAGTCGTTTCAAGCCTTCTCAGCCTGACCCCGGGATGCTTGGAAGGTGTCAGCTTGCAAGCGGCGTGCGCGACATCTTCTCGACACGCTTAGCTTTTGCGGCGGTGAAGGCCATGACTTACGTGGACCCCCCCACCTTGTAATAGCAACTATAAGGAATACTAAGGATTATATTAGGGTCCTCTTATATTCCTATTATACCACTATTACAGGGTGTGGGGTCATCCTAAGCCATGACTCGCGGGTATCAGGTTCTGTGTTTCCTACTGACTTGGACGCTCAGGGGGACATGGTAAGTAGCTTAATAATGGAGAAAAGAAGCCTTCATTGTGGCTTATACGGGCTTCTAATACCCACCACTTCTTGCTCAGCCCCCCGAACCCTTCAGTGAAGGAGGGTACAGTGGAAGCCAGTGGGTGCAATGAATGTACTTGAAGGGTTTTAGCCAGGTCCCAATTAAGCTCATGTTCAACCCTGATACTCCCACTATCTCGCGCAGCAACTTTTAGGAGGATGGCTCCATCGTGACGTGGGGAGCTGTGGAGTTTGGGGGCGGGCCTCCACCACGCATGAGTGCTGTGTGTACCATTTCTTCGACCGACGCCGCTTTCGCAGCCCTTACCACAAGCTCTCGAGTGCATGTTTGGGGTGATCCTGCCGCTGGTGGATGTGCAGAAGAAGTCGCGGCAGATTTGGCTGATGAGGTTCTGGCCGTGTTTGGATGCAAGTGTGCTTTTGCTGCTACGAAACAAAATGGTTCTGTGGTCTGCTGGGGCGATGCTGCTGCCTGCCATGGCTTGGAGGGCATCAGGCGCACTTCTCTCAACACAACCTCTAGATCTTCCTGAGTAGGGACCTCGCGATGTAAGGCTCCAACCTCCAAAATACCTGGCCCGAGGCGAGCCTTCATAATGCCTACCACAATGCCCAAAAAGTCCGAAACTAGTGAAGGAATACGCTGCAGACCATATCAAGTTTTTGGTACCATTCTTTGAAGTATTCATGCACCAAGCAGGCCCTAAGAGAACTCTCGGCCCAGGTGTAAATTCGGAAAGGTGCAAGTGCAGCATATTGCCTCCACATCGAGAGCATTCGCTGCCCTCACAACTGCTGGCTCCGTCCTCTGCTGGGGAGATCCTTCCAGCGGCGGATGTTCTTCCAAGGTTGAGGGGCATCTCCAGGAAAATGTTGTTAAGATCTATAGCAATGAGGCAGCCTTTGCGGCGGTGAAACGAGGTGGAGCAGTGATTCCATGGGGTGGGCACTATCTTGACCTAGACTTGGGGTCTGCTGGGCAGAAGTTGGCCGGTGGGGTGGAGGAAATTGTCACGACTCGCTCGGCATTTGCAGGCCTCAAGTCTGATGGTACTGTCGTAGCCTGGGGCCACCGCAACAGAGGAGGTGATACTGGGTTGCTGTTAGGAAACTTAAGTTTTGAGTTACCATAATGGGTATATATACCGTGGTAAATAAAAGGCTTTCCCCAGTATAGTAACTTAAACTAAGTTCCTTAACAACAACCCAGGATAGTAGTGCTGTTGCGTGGCGGCTTGCGGAAGGCGTCAGAAGTATTTGCGCTGCAGACAACGCATTTGCTGCCATTACCAGGTCCGGAGCAGTGGTGACACCGGGACAAGGTTAGGGAGCCTTTACGATTTTTTGGGGTTCCTCAGGTACATTCAACAAGGATCCATTTTTCTAAGATACCAGGGACCAAGGACATGGGGTGTGACAGATGAAGTCGGCAATGGTTGCTCTGCAGATGGATTTCTGGAGAGCGATGTCCATGATTTGTTTTCAACATGCCACTCGGGCTGTTGTTGTACAGCATTTTTTTGTTTGGCATATCTGATACCATCATTTGGTTTGAAAAGGTCATGTTCATCACTGTAAAGCCTAAACCCTAAACCTTTTAGAAGCTCCACAGCTCAGGTAATGCATTCCTGGCCATCAAGTATGACGGGACGATTGTAGCGCTTTTGCCATTGTTAAGTGAAAGGTTTAAGGGTTTAGGGTCTAAGGATTTAGGGGGTACATGCTTTTGAGTACCCAAGCATATTCACGAAAGTTTATAGGCACTTTACGGAAGAGAAGAATCCTACAGCCCAGTTGTCAATGAAAACTCAGAAATCTCAAGCTCTTGATGCCAAACCCATGCGTGATGCAGCATATTTTCACAAGAGCCCTTTTGAATAACACCCCCCATAGGAGACTCTCTTTAATTGAATCCCAAAAATGCTAGGGTCTTCAAAGTAACCCCAAATTCTGAGAACTTCTTACATCATGCCAGCCATCGTCCAGGTGTGGGGAGGACGTAGGTCGGGCGGCGATGCGGGCGCTGTTTGCGATCGATTGCCAGTCTGCGGCTGTGTGGAAAAAACATCAGACTAATCCCTGCCAGAAGTGCGACGGACACTACTTGGAGGGTCAGGGGGACTTAGTAAGTGGGTTAATAATGGGGATAACTAGGGTTACCATATGGGTTAGGGGGGTTATTACCCTACCTACTAAGTCCCCCTGACCCTCCAAGTAATTACTGTGGGGTTATGAGTGTGCCTACATGTATGGCTAGAATCTGATGAACCACAATGATAGGAACAAGCATCTTGATGCTGGTTTTGACGACAGCCCGGGCCCGAAACCCCAGGCCTAAAGCCCGAAACCGCTACGCCTCAAACCCTCAAGGCCAGTCAAGTCGCAGAAGCCTTAAATCCGAAACCCCTGAAGTCTAAACCTTAGACCCTCACCTCATTGGGCCCCCTTATCATCCCACTATAATCGCTCCCTGGTTTCCCACTCACGTAGCTCTTATTGTTGCCAAAAAACCCTAGGAGGAACCTGGGGAGGTAGTATAAGTGGGATGGTAAGCGATATGCGGGGTACTCTTCACGAGTGGATTTCTTTTTTAACAACACTAGTGGCTTTCATTTGGCAAGTTCTACCGTCTTGCCCCCACAGCAGTCCCTGAAAGTGGGGAGGCTTAGGAATTCGTGCAGTCAGCCAGTGCCATACCGATTTTGCGGAGTGTGCCACATGCTCAACCTCACTGATTTGGCTCCAGGTGCATGTGTGCACGTTTCACCCAACACTGTGGCGCATGAAGCCAATACCAAGCGTACATGTGCTAGCGTCGACCATCAGCCAACAAGAGCATAGAGGAGTTCAGGTAGAATTTCTATCTCTTGTGCGGACAGGTTGAGGATCCAGCCCCACCGATACAAGAATGTATCCATGGCTTGTGTTCAAGGCTGCACAGGAGAAGCAACTATCAGCATCAGGTACATACAGAGTTATATATGTGATTTCACCTTTTCAAAGCAGATTTCCTGTTAAAGGGAAGGTGTTATAGCCACAGCACCTCATTTCAGAGGCGTCATTCGTCTCATCATCCGTGCTTGGGCGACTTCCCCTTGTTAAATTTAGGTGGCCCCCGGCCACTACTGGTTGTAGACGTCTAGGAATAAATTAGGGGCCCTGATAAGACTGACCCTTATCCCTTGTGGTCACGGTCCGGGACGGGGGATCACGTGTTGAGTCCAAGTTCCCCTTGAGGTTCACATACAAAGCTCCGAACCGTGCCACAAAACCCAAAGGAACAACCACAAATCCCAAATCCTAAGCCCAAACCGAAACATGGCCTGGGAATCCCAGCGTGGATTCATTTGAGTCTCTTGTCTCCTTGATGGTCAAGCTACCGCCCAGAGGGAAGGCGTGCGCTGAAGGGTTTGTGATACTGAGTGCTTCAAACAGTTGTGTGATCATTCGGGGCTTCGCGTGCAGGGCTTTATGGTGTAGGGTGCTTCACAGAAGGGTTTGAGGATTCAGCACTTCAAGAATTCCGACATACGTCCAGGCCCTGGATGAGGCTCTGTCAATGATGGGGTGGGTTTCGAAACTGTTCGAAAGGAACTGCTACCGGTCCCCTGTGTCAAGTAACTGGGCTACATGGTAAGCTCCGACTGAAACCCCACGCCCCGAGTAGCTTACACACTCCTCCGTTGAAGAGACTCAGGTAGAATACCTCAGGACCCCACAATATAGTGCAATCTCCGCCTCATTCATGCGATTACAAATTGGTACCCCTAATTCTGGGAAACCCCAGGTACCTCCCAGGATCGCCCTGAGCCCTAAACCTTACTGTAAACTTAAAATCCAAAATTTAGGTGGGACCCCCCACCCAGTAATAGTGACTATAGGGGATAATAGGGATTATATTAGGGTCCTCTCATATTCCTATTATACCACTATTACAGGGTGGGGGGTCTTCGTAATCTAAAATCCAAATTGCTTTGTGGCTTTGCAGGTGCCGGAGAGGCTTCGAGCTAGCAGCGTGCATCTCGCATGGCTAGCTGCAGAGAAGGAGGTTCAGGACATGAGCCTTTTGGGTCTTCAGGGGTAGGTTAGAACATGTTTTGTATTTTTTGGTACCCTTGGTGAATACTTATATCATCCATCTAAAAGCCATGAAACTTTGTTTTTGATATGGCCCCCAAACCTACCCTAGTCCTGTTTTGGGGGTTCCCATTATGAGGATTTGTGGTAGTTTGGGGTGTATATGTGAGACCCCCCATCTCAGTTCAGGCTTCAGGCTTCAGGATTGAAATCTTTCGGAATTGGACTGCGCCCTTACACAGTCAGTGCTTTTGCTTTTTGGAACAGCCTTTTCAATCTTCCGGCCAGCTATAAGTAAGAGAAATGTGAAATTCTCGGAATAGAAACAAGCTGACGCGAAGACGTGGCTCTCATTTTCAACCGCACCAGCATGACTGGGCGGGGGTCATTTGACAAAACCAGGGTATGGGCCCTGTCACTCCTCTCGTGAGGTGCATGACAAGGTGGTTCTACAGGGGTTTTAGCGCTGGGTAGAATGAAAGGCATTTTTTAAATCAAAGCCAGGCTGCATACTCCCGGATAGTAGCATGTGTAAGGCTAATTTCGCAAGGAGTCTCTCAAAATTTTGGCTCCTTCTCTGGTCGTGCTATCACAGGCATGAACCGGCTTAGGAATTATCCCAGAGGGTCCAAGTACCCAATAATTAGGTACTTGGGTTTGGGGGTAATAGGAATTATAATATAGGTTTTGGGTAGGTATATGATTATTAGGTACTTGGACCCTTAGGGTATTATGCTTGATTGATGGAGTGAACATCGAGTCTTGTGTGCACGTTGCCGGAGCTGTTCTGGAATTTCCCCCCACCGACTTGCAGGGATTCTATGGGTCTGACCGCCTTGCTGAATCTTCTGGATCCCCCCATGAACTTTTGTAGATGCGTTTTGCCAGGCTTCAACTTAATGGATGAGGACGTCTAGGAAGAAAGCCTCACAAGCTTCGCCCGCGACAGGAGTTGGAAAAGCAATGTGAAGCTCAGCAAGAGCTTGAGTCAAGGATCAAGCTCATGCGAAATCGCTTGAAGGCAAGACACCTTTGAGGATGTTTCAGGTGGGCATTCTTCCAGAGAAGCAGGCTTATATGACTCCTACTATCCCCACCTTAGCCTCATATAAGCCTTGTGTAAGGGTACCCCAAATACAAGGATTAATTCGCTGGTTGTTTTCCTTTCTGGACGGACCCTTGCAATTACAAATCAGACGATGCACAGTGCCTCGAGATACGCCGCGCCGTGAGGGGGAGGTTAATTATATCGTCACAGGACCTCATTCAAAAGCATGTATAGATATGTAACACGTCGTCTAGCGCAGCCATACAGCCGGAACAGTAGTAGCAGTTACATGTGTGGCAAGAATCGCCGCCCCGATCATGGCAACTCTTAATGGTAGCCGTGCAGATGATGACTCATGGTAGCATTCATCATCTTTAAAGTACGGCTGCCGCGGATCCCAGCGACAAGCTGCTTGCGAAGGCCATGCGGAAGGGAGCTGCTGCAAGGGTAGATGCAGCCGCCTCAGCTGTCAATTTTGCATCCATGGGTTTTAAGATTGTGTAAGGGGGTTCGCTAGATGCAGGTTCACTTCCCTAAGTGAAGATTAAATTACAGGGCAGTTAAGGCGGAGTTTAATGCTTTCCCCCCGCTGCAGATGTTTTGCTGGCGCGCAATGACTTGTTGAGTCTTCAAGCTACAACATTGCACCGATACCAGGCTTATTGCCATGATTACACGTGCCATGCCCTTGCAGCTTCGTAGTCTTCTGATGCTGTACACATTTTAACCTTTTGGCAAACAAAGTGTTTGCGCGAGCGTCTGGCTGTCGAGACCATTCTTTGAATCCATCTCCTAGCAATAGACCACCACTCTTCTCCAGCAATGGGCATTTCCTGTAAGTATGGACGGTACACCTGTCATCTTGTTTCCCTAAGTACGGGGAGCCCAATGCAGACCCCAAAATACTACAGCCCTTTATGGAGGCCCCCAAAAGGCATCCCAAACATCCGTTTGTGGCCTGTGGTAGGCTTAGTCTTAGCTGGGATCTGTGCAACAATAAAAGCTCACCCGACTTCACTCCAAATGGTGCATGGTCAGTTCATAAACTTACTCGCTCTAAGTAGGGAATGAGGGGATGCATCATATGTGGAGTATATAGGGATTATGTTGCCTTATTCCCTGCTAAGAACGTAAAGACAACCCTGCCAAAATGGCTTTCTGGAAGAAGTTTTATACAGAAACATTCTAGTAGTTTCCATTTTCTTTGCCATTCCAAATTGAGTACCCCTCCATATGCATTGTTTGGATTCAGGCTGTCTCGAAGATGATTGAGCATCGGAAGGCCTGACCTGCCATAGATATGGATAGGATCTCAATCGCTGTTTTGGTCAGCGTGTAGAGGGTTCCTTAAGAGCTTTGGTGAGTGCACGCATGGCATGTGAGAGACCATGGGCGGCCTGTAAGGAATCCATGGTGTTCAGGAATATTGTCTACACTCCTTCAAGGGGGGTTATAAAGGGGAATATTCTAGAGGGTTTTCAGGGGCATGCTACTACATAGGTTTCTCAGGGGGATACAGGGGTTTCGACTTCAGCTCGTATACTTTTCACCTTAAACCTTAGGGGTACTTGGAAATAGCTTTTATTTTTTACTATCATCCAAAGAAACAGCAGAAACTATAATTGTTATACGGGTTCCAAGGTCAGCAGAGAAACCTTAAACCCGAAACCCTATTCTGGGCTGGGTGCAGGCCGAACTTCTCATCAACAATGAGAAAGTCCGGGAGCTCGAAGGTCGGCAAAATGTCAGGGCCCTTGCCTACCTTGCCTTACTTGGAGTTAGTATTTAGGGTTTAGGTCAGCATTTAGGGTTTAGGATTTAGGGTTAGTAGGGGATAAGGGAATGCTTCGGGGTTATATGGAGATAATGGAAGAGATAATGGAAACTACTGCATTATAGTTGGGGTTATAGATGGGAATAAGGGAATATATTATATAGGGGCTATATATATATACACATGTAAAGGGATTATGTTCCCTTCTTCCCTACTAAGCACCAGTAAGTTGCAGGGCTTTAAAGGGTTTAGGACCAAGAGAGGCCTCCAGCTACCATGTACCAATAAGGGCACTGCAGACAGCAAACCCTACCAGACTAAGCCGGATTTACATGAGACATAATCTCCTTCAAGCGGGTCATATAGGGGAGCGTTACATGGGTGAAAAAGGGAGATCGTAGGAGTTTGGACTATGGCTCACATTGCAGCGCCACCATTTAGAGTGAGGTTATCTCGTCCATTTGATTATACATAGTGTTTTATCACTTGGTGAAACTGCCAAACAAGCATGCTCCTAAATCCTTACGTCCTACAAAAATCCCAGTCTCCATTCCATTTTCAATATTCTTTCCCCGCTGTTTTGAACCCTAAACCCTAAACTCCTAAATCCTAAACCTTAAACGACTGAGGAGCCTCCACCGTATCCTGCCTTGACCAATGCTCAGCCCCTGGGCTTGGCGCTGACGGAGGCAGTGAAGGACCCGTCGGCCCGTAGGGTCAAGGGGCGACATTGTTTGAAATCGAGGTTCTCAGAGGAAAGAGGAACATGCATACATACACACGCAGCGATTATATATATATATATGTATATAAATATATGACGACGATCAGGAATTTCCATGCTGCCGGGGGCATCGGGGACAGCAACTTTCTAAGAAGTTCTTTGGCATCGTTGCGGCATGCAGTCTTCTTGGAAGCGTGGGCCCCTAGCCCGAAGTACCCCAGCTGAACATTGAGAAGACTTACTTGCTGAGCTTCTATATTGCTGTTTGCATATGACTGTGGATCAAACTTTGGGTAGGCCTGCCAAACTCCCATATTACCATATCGTCAGCTAACACATGCCTGCTAGATATCTTCCATGAGACATACACGCCAGAAATACCATTCTTAGGTCTTAGGATTCAGCAGCTGGGACCAAACCAAGATCCCTCCCTCAGCTTGGCACCCTCTACTATGAGGGATAGACGTTGGGCTTTTGCAAGTGGCTTAGCTTTGCGCACGCCGTGTTTCTAGACATTGTGCACTGTAGACATTACGCATGAATACCTAGACAATTGTCATGCTGAGAATGTGGAGTGGCCTTTACAAGCCCCACGCAGTCCGCATACAGCTCATTCATGGGGTTCTCAGAATGAGTTTGCCCTTATTGACGCGAGGGATCATGCACAAAGGGATTCTGTTGAGAGAGCTCCCACATAAAGTCTGGTGTAGGATGAGTTGCGGATCCTATTGCTGACACCAAATAATTCCTCTATGACCTTAATATACTATAGTGCCATCATTACCAATATATAATGTACTTTAGTATCCACGGTATGGTGCAAGGAAATGAGGAAGCGCGCCCTGAGCAGGAAGCGCGAGGCCTGAAGTTTACTGTTTGGCGGAGGATTTCTTCCGGGGGCCCCATACAAGGAGATCCATAAGCAAGAATCCCTGAAGCCTTCCTAATTTGGGGTTGTTGCTGGGATGATTGGATGCTTGAGACGTACTTCAGATGTGCTGGCGCTGTGGCTGAGACAATGGTCGGCCAACAGGCTCTGCCTTTAGAGTTGAGGTTTGGGGTTGCGAGGGAAGCAATGTGGACTAGATCATTGTGGAAAAAGTTGCTCGTGCTGCTTCTACTAAAGCCCAACCCCAATAAGCAGTATGATTTCCTATGCTCATGCCAAAACAAGGCTAGTGTGCACGCACGCAAACCCAATTCCTGACAGCTGCTGCTGGTCTCGTGCAAAAATGCCCCCTGCCGAAACAAGCTCTCGCCACATACCCTTCCTATAGGTCGTATCGGGTGGTTTCCAAGACACTCCCAACACTATCCTAACAAAGTCAAGGAACTGCCCTTACGGCACTCGCAGGCCAAATCTAAGGAGAAACAGGTTCCCAGATATTGCCGTCAGCAGAACAGAACACATCCAAGTACGCTGGTGAGAAGGCGAGTGGTTCCTGCTGCTCGCGTTTAGGTAGCGCAAGAATGCTGCAAGATGGGCACTTCTCAAACTAATCAATGAGCCCACTCCCCTGTAGTCTCTACTCTTGGAAACCTTATATAGTCCCCAAAGCGGAGGCCAAACCCTTACAGCGTTCCCCCCAAAGACAGTTATATAGGAATGTAAAGGGGAACGGGAAGGAATGGAAAGTACCCATGCGTAGAGGTCTAGGGCCGACCAAACACCACCTGGCCCCCAAAGGGTTTAGGGTTCAGCGCTCCGATGCAGTACCAACATATATATTGGGGATAATGGGGAGCGAACCTAAACCCTAAACCCTTTACTTATTGGGTTTAGTGGAGAGGTGATGAAATGCAAAGTCATACATCTTAATCCTATACAAGCCCTGCAGATTGTGGGGCTTTGTAATGCTCTCCCCTAATAACAACCCCTCACCGCCTAATCATGAACATCCCCAATGTAGTACCATCATAGATTAGGGTGAATATTCATTATCCGGGGCTTTGGGGAGGGGGTATTCTTGGGCAGAAGTGTTATTATTCTGCACCTCCCGAATGGGGTCCTGCATTGGTCTTGCCGTGGACCGCCGCCCGCCCCGGAGAATGGGAACTCTATGAATTTCACAATATTCCGCTGTGATCCTTCAGGGTTTAAAAGTTGGGTGTTTCAGCCCTTTAGTTAACTTTCTGTGGCAGCAGCCCCCTTCTCCAGCCCACAGAATACCTGTTCCTAAAGCCTCAAAACAATCCCTACATCCTAGTCCCTCAAAACATCTCAATCCCCTCATACCACATATTGTGAAATAAATGTAAGTATGAAGGGTTTAGCCCCTAAACCCTGAAGCCTAAACCTCCTGTGGCAGGAGTCTAATCCCCTGTCCTTGAAGCAGCCAGCTTCTTGGCCATCCCTGTACAGCATTGGTGATCTTTGGCTTGCGCCTCCTGGCTGTAAACTTGCTGGCTGCTAGTAGGGACTGAAGGAATGGGAATGCAAATGAAAGCTACTACAGGATTTGGGGTTTACAGGGCTGAGGGTTTAATGTTTGGGGTGGCTCGGCAAGAATGAGAGACTGGAAAAGAGAATGGAAATTACTGTATTGTTTTGGGAGAATATAGGGGCGACTGAACTTCCCAACTAGGCGACCCGAGCAGCAAGTACCGTCCATCGAAGCCGGCCCCTTTTTATGAAGTTATATTATCTTACAAGCTTCATTTTCGGGTTCCTGTGATAGGTTCCATGCTGGGCGTGCAGGGTTCGGGGGGGGCCGATTGACTAACCAGAACTCGAGAGCATGCCGCAAGTCCTAGGCGGTTACGCAGCACAACGTCACGTCCTCTTTGCAAAGGCTCCGGTAAAATTCCCAGCATTGACAAGCAGCTTCTCTCCTTACCGTGGCAATCCCTATGACAGCTTTGAGGAGCGCGAGGAACTCCAGTCCTCCTGAGACAATCTGGGCTCTAAATTGTCCATTCATGTAAGCTACTGTACAGTCTAAACTCCGAGCATCCCCTTTAATAACAGCTATGACACTCCTTCAAGGAGTTTAGACTGTAGCTCATGTAGCTTAGGAAAGCTGAACTCGAGCATGCGCTCTCCTGGCGCCTGGACTCTTGCCCCACTGATAGAGCGCAGCCACAGCGTCGCTTGGCGTCAGGGAGGATTAGGGTTTAGGGTTTTGAGCGCGGCCTCAGGGTCCATTGGCTTCAAGGAGGATTTCTATACGGTAATGTGCAATCCGAAAGTAGACTCTGAAAAGATTGTTGAGGCTTCTGTTTGGGTAAACGTGCAAAGGTTTTGTCAATGATGCTTACAATTGTCTTTCGTATTTGCCACCATGCTCCCTGAATGCTCCCTCAGCCCTACTCGAAGGTACAGGGTACCCATAACCTACGTAGTCACGGCAGCTATGACCCCATACTACTTATATATGGTCCCGCGCTCTGCGTTCCCAGCCAACCCCCCCCC